TTGATCCTGCACGATATATATAAAATATTGGGAACAGATCTCTCCCCTGGTGAACTTTGGGTGAGCCGGTTGAGTGGCCAAACACACTGCTCGAAACAGCTTACGATCCTGGGAAAGGAGGAACGATCCTGTACGTGCGAAAGGTATTTCCTGGGACAAAAGAGAACAAGTTAGAAGGGCGCCGGAGTGTTTTCCGGCGTATCCCCTCCGACGGTCTAGTCAGTCTTTGAATGAGAGAGAGGAAGGAGAAAACACTGAGAAGGATATTTCGTAGTAGAGAGTTTGTGATTGCATACCCGCTTTGTCTTTTGGGAGGGGTATTTATACCTTAGAAGATCATGATTGCTGTCAGTGTGGTCAGTAGGTGATCATCAGGCACTGGCAGCGTGTGTATTGATTTGACGAGGAATGTCTTCTCTAATTGACTGCTCGGGGTCCCGAGCAATCAATGTTGAGTCGTCGGGACGCCGACGGTACAATATGCTCCTTTCGGGAAGGATGTAATAAATGCTCCGTAATAGGAGCATTTATTGCCTTTCATATCCGAACCTTACCGCATTGAATGCGGTCTCGTCAACAGAAGGGTGCAATTAATTGTTTGCTTCCCAAAGCGCATGTCAGCAATAGCGTGCGGTTTGCCTGTTTTTGATGTGATATCATATGCCACGCGTCCGTCACGTATTGGCTATGACTTCTGTGTTCCAGCATGTTCTGACATTACTTGTGTAAGACGAGATCATGATGAATAGTCTAGACTGGCATAGGCTGATGTCCAGTATGTCAGTAGCCTTATCCGGGAGTAGAGGAAGCGTCCAGGATGGAGTGACCCTCGGCGCCGAGGAAAGGCTCACCTCGGGACCAAGGGGTGGTGTGTTCCCGAGGTACATGGTGACCGAGGACACATGTCATTGTATAATGTACCGAATATGTGATCCTATATGAGAGGTACCCCGGGGGAGGGGACGCCTTTGCCGATGGTGCTCGAACCCGAGCAAACATTTGTTCAAAAAACCCCCGAGGACACGTGTCTTCATCGTAGGCTTTTCAGAAGAGTCCCATCAGTTTCTGTTTTGCCTGGTAATGGCGTTCTGTTGTTTTCTTTGGATGGGCTAGTTTGGCCCTTGTTTCTTGTACATGAATGATTTTTCTTTATTGTAGAACAACTTTGATTCACCCCCAAAAAAGCATAAATAATATTGACATTTGGTTGTTTTGCCTGGCAATGGCGTTCAGTTGTATCCATCAGTCGGCCTTTCCCTAGTCTGATTTATTAATTTACTTGTATATAGCAGGATCTTTATGGTTATAAATAATAACCAGGTAGGCCTTGTTCATTCATTTCTGTCTTGTTCTATAAACATATAAAAAAAAGGGAAAATTTCAGTCACATCCCTCCTAGTTTACTATATCTTAAAGGATACCCCCGTTATCATCAAAAGCATCACTGACGCCTCTTCTACTTTAATTTAAATATCACTAACACCCCCTACCATTAAACTACTAATCTAACAAAAAAAAATTATCTAAAATATCAAAAATGCCCCTATATAAATCTCAAGTAATTTTTCTATATAAAATTTTATTAAAATTTGAGCTGTTAAATATTTTTTAAAAAATCGTAAATAACAATTTTAGTAAATAATTTGTTAGTAAAATACTAATTTTCTATTTACTAATTCGTAAATTTTTTAAAAAATTCTAGTCTATTAAAATTTATTTTTTACATATTAAAATTTGAACCGATTTGAACTCTATCTGAGTTGTTAGCGCTTATTAAAATATTTTTTTGAGTCGATTAAAGTTTATATGTTTTTTTATTAAAATTTGTGTCAATTAAAATTCGATTTATTAAAATTTGAATTAATTAAAATTTATATGTTTTTATGTATTAAAATTTGGGCTGATTAAAATTCAATGCGAATTGATTAAAATTTGATTTGAGTCAATTAAAAATAATTTTTAATTGGCTCAAATAAAATTTTAATTAGCTCAAATTTTAATACGTAAAAAAAATATAATTTTTAATTAGCTCAAATTTTAATATGTAAAAAAATAAATTTTAATTAGCTTGAATCGAATTTTAATCGACTCGAATCTTAATACGTCAAAAAAATTAGAAAACAGAGAGGGTCTCATTGAAGATATATTTATCTAGAGAGGGTCTCATTAAAAATATACTTATTTAGAGGGGGTGTGAATGAAGTTTATCCTTAAATATATCACAGATAATTTAATAAAATTACATTCTAGTTAATATTTTTAATATGACAGGAGGTGTTACTGAAGATTCAGAAAATAGAGGGGATTCCCTTGAAGATATGATAAACTAGACGGGGCGTAGTTGAAATTTTCCCTTAAAAAAAAAGTTGGAAACACACGTGTTTTACGTGTGATGTGGTAGTGGCTACAGAAGTAAGATAGGGTCAGGGTGGTCCGGAGGCTAACTTGGAGCAGTCTGCCTTGGCCGGCTAAAACCAGTTGGACCAGCAGGAATATTGTACTTTCTACTAGCTCTTCTAGAATTATTCAAACGGCATTGGTATTAAGGTTGCTTTTGAACTATCTGTTTTGGACATCGGCAAGTTTGTTGGTTGGTCCAATATTTTCTATAGCTACAAACAATATTTGCTCTTTCACTAGATCCAAGTATGTTCTTTAACTGTAATTTTTACCCCAAAAATCTCAGTTTTGTTTTTGTCATACTACTAATACAAAAATCTAAATGCCCATGGTTTGTTGGTTGGTTTTGTCTTGGGCTCAAAATTGCTGAACCCAATGAGCAACATGGTCTAAGGTTGTGGTATTGACTATTAACTTGGAAAGCTACGAGATCCATCAGTTGCAGTGTTGAGTCGTGGTATCGAGTAATACGACCTAAAAAAATATATTAAACATGACAAGAGATTCAAGTTATATTGCGGCATCACAGAACCGTATTGGTCGATTTGGTGACGATAATTCGACGATTCGAAATTGACTCGGATACAACTTGGACGACTCTGCTGAGTTGTGCGAGTTTGAGGTTTATATGAATCGTATAATAGTATCGTCTCGATAGGTTCTGAGTCAGCTATGGCTCGATCGACTAATATTGTCATCGGCCGATATTTTGAATCATGAGCAATGACTTTTTTTTTTTGAACAAAATGAGCAGTGACTTCATTTTACATATTCAGGAGCCAATCAACCTGGAGTATTGACTTCTAAAACAATACTCTTCAAACACCAAAGCTACCAATGTTTTTTTGTGTTTTTGAAAGATTGGCAGGCCTATTAACCTTTCTTTTTCCTTCTTTTATTCTTTGACAATATGTTTTCTTTATTTCTTGCTTGCTTTACTTGCTAAGCTTTTACTATTACAAAATGAAATTGTCAACCATAGCTCTGGTTACTTGAGAGTGCCTTCTTCCTTTTGATATGCAATTAGATTGATAATAGCTCATCAAATTTTATTATAATGATTGACTTATATCCATGATGCCTACTTTTGTCAGCTTCCCCTGCCGTTTCTTCCTGAATCTCATGGGTATATAAAATGTTTATTTATTTCATTCTTTGTTTGATTAAGAAAGCTTATGTAAACTGTAAACTAATGAAACTTTAGTGATTAGTCTAAAAAGTTATTTTGACTAATCACTTTTCTAATTTACCATGCACAGTTTCTCTTTCTTCTCTTTTTCGAAGTAGTATATTATGTAAGTATACAACTTGGGCGGACGAATTTGAATCCATCATTAGCCCATACCAAAATGTTTAGTACATGACAAAAATTTTCGGTACTCGAGTTGGGGGTTTGGGCAAAACAAACTCAACCCGTTTAATGAGTATTTCCATGTTAGTTGTTTAGTTTGGATCGAAGAAAAAACTATTGATTACTTCTCTTCCTTTATGTTTCAATACATACAATCACGGCTGCCCATAAACCCTTACAAGGTTCGAATACGCAACTTTAAGCTAAACTCCAATCTCCTCCACACGTAGTGATGGAAAATTGAGGAGGTAAATTGCCACTAACTTTTTCAAGTCCTCTGTTTTTGCGTGTACACTGTGAGAAATAAATGTAGATGATGGGTGTCGCTCTCCATTGTAGTCCATTTTCTATCACTATCAGTCAAGTTAAGTGAATCTTGTGCAATGTAGACCCTCTTTTATAGCAGACAGCCAAGTTAAGTGTACACATGCCAATAGAATTGGAGCCGAAGCAATCGGGATACCATATCAATATTACTACATTTTATTACTAATTAATAATATGCAGATAAATAAATAAAAAATCTTACATAAGTCAATAATTATCTGTCTATGTAGGTAGATAACTACTTCTTTTTTTTTTTATATAAGTCAATAACTATTTAACTGAAATTCATTTTATCTATTTGAAATTTTATAAAATAAAACCCGAAATAAAATTGATATAAAGTAACAAGTATGAGTTTAACTTTTGTTTTATCGAATTTGGGTCAAAAACAAATTACCAGTCAAATACGAATCGAATAATTTGTAATCTATGTACAACACATACTATTTTTTTTATATTTTTTTGAAAGTTATATACAATTCGAACTTGATTATACATAATTATAGAGAGTTAGAAATTCAAACCTGAATTTATTTGTATACAATATGATTGAGACACCACAACATTTATTGCCAAATTCTAGTTAGGAGACTATGAGAAACTGCTAAGAAAAAACAGGCCGGCGGCTTTAGTCCATATGTACCTACCCAACTTGCACGAGGCATGTTTTAGACACTAGCAAACCCCGAGCAAAATATTCCTTCCTTTATTGCAGACGTCTTGACTCAGCCAATTCATTTGACTCTCTCTGTCTCTCTGTCTCTCTCTCCATACATATATATTTTTGGTCATCATGTGTACGTCTATATAAGCATCCAACATCCGGTTCTTTCAATCCACGGTTCTATTCTATTTCTAGTCTGTTTTGACATCACCTCTCTCTCTCTCTCTCTCTCTCTCTCTCTCTCTCTCTCTCTCCTGCATGGCTCGTTTAAGTTTGATATCTCTTGTTCTGATCCTTGTGATGGTTCATTATGCACCATCTTTAGAAGCAAGGAAACTCTTGAGCATACAGAAAGATCAAGAGGTACCTAGTGCCGACGGCAGTTTGGTTTTGGTCCAGAATGTCCTTCCAAAAGGCAGTCCTCCTCCTCCACCGTCTTCCCCACTTGTTGAAGGTCATGCAGTAGCCATTAATGGAAGGCTCTTTACTGTCGAGGTTGCGCGTGCTGATCGGTTTTTGGAGTCGGTCCCTAGTCCTTCAATTGGCCATTAAACTCATACATATTACTGCATTGGCTTCGTGTGGTTTATTTATAAGTTAAATACTTCATATCATATATATTCTATCAGATTGTTTTTACTTGATGTTTTTCGGAAGGGTTTCCCTTAAATCTCGTAATGTATACGTAAGAACGTATAGATTTATAAACTTTCTTGTACTATTTCTTGATACTGAAAGTAAGAAAATATGAATACTATTGACTATGCAAACAGCTATATATGTTCAGCATTATCTGTTTGTCTCATGGTATGACAACTTCATATAGTTTCTCCATCCATGTTGGCATGTAATCTCACACAAAGTTGCCAAAAAAATGAGAGGAAAGAGAAAAAAAAAAATGCTTGTCATCAAGGTCTTGATAGGTTCATACGGGAGACAATCCGTACGTAATACGAAATTAGAGAGTTTAAATCTTTCTTAAATTACGTGTTTTATAAACGAATGGACTCAACACAATACGATTAAATAATTGGATCGACTATGAGTAAAGTTAATCAAAAATAATACACGACACGACTTATTTATATATTAATTATACACGATATGAACCTGATATGACATGATTTATTAAACATGAATTAATAAATAAATTAAGTATGAGTAGAGTATTTTTTGACACGAACCCATTAAAACCTGACAAGAATCGGCCTCACCCGACACGATTGATAGACCTATCTAATATTACATCTAAGAAGTTAAATTCTCAATTTATAAAAGCACAATAACGATTAAGATTGATTTAGTTATTATTGATCCAATAACAAAATTTATTTAAATTTTTTTTCCATTCATAAACATCATCTTCTCAAATGTTAGATATCTCAACTAACACACTCTCTAATATCATATAACTCCACTAACTTACACCTACCCCTTTCTTCTTCTCTTTTTTTTTCTTTTTTATATTCACTCAAATTTTATATTATATAATTAAAGAAATGAAAGAAAAAATAAATTATTTTTTAAAATATACACGTTGAATAATCAATACTCGATTTTTAATATTACATAATATTTTTAACTACAAGGTTATATTGATAGTGGGAACACATATCATAGTCTTGGAACTATGATTCAAATTTTAAAATGTCACATCCAACTCTCAGTTGTCTCAATTCGGTCAGTAGACTATGGAAAGGATAGAAAATAGTCTCTTTCGTCCAATCTCTAATATAAAACAGAGTAAGCTTCAGTAAATTTATCCGATGGTCTCAAATAAATTCATTCAACTGTCACTAATATTCCTCTCAAAATTATTTATATTGCACCGTGCCTTTACACATAAATTACCCCTAGTTTAACCACTAAAGCAAATGGAAAACCAGAAAAAAAATATTTAAAACAAAGGACAAACTGAACCTAATTTTATTAGGCTCTTCCAGCGGAAAATTGAATAAATTGATTGCTACATTTTTTATGGTTTGAGGACTACATTGACCACCGGGGCCGCTGGTCCAGTAGCTTACAATGTCTTGGGTTTTTTTTTTTTTAGCTTTCATGAGATTAGTGAGTAGGGTTCGATTCACGGAGACTCTCACTGTTCTATGGTGTAGGGATTAGGCTACGACTCATGTCGGTCTTTGGGAACATATGTGGTTTCCCGCTATATAAGCCGCACTGGTGGGCTTTTCTCGTGGATTTGGGCTGTTATGGTTGTGCCCAAGAAGAAGTTCCACCCCGATTATCCCTTCAAACATTTTTTCTGACAAAAAATAAAAAAGAATACGTTGAGCAAATTGAAAACTATGGGGCCAATTTAAGATCCGGTGTATCTTTACTAGTTGGGTTTTGGGCTTGAATTGTTTGTTGGAAGAAATATGGTTTGGCTTCAGTAAGCTTGAACAAGGCTGTGGTACATGGGTAGAGCCCACGGTTACATATGCCAACTGGGCTGAATGTGGGCCAAGTACTACACTAGGCCCATGTGCCTACAAATGAGATTGAGCCAACCTACCCAAATTAACGAATTATTTCACTTCTTTGGATCTTAGAAAATTACCTAGAATACTCCTTAACAAGTATAAGAACTCAGGGTGTTCTTTATAGAAGAACAAGTTGACCAACAACCTTTGAGCTCAAGTCGTGTTTAGCCAAGTTCGTCTTCTCTCATTTTATTTAACGGATCTAATAGTACACTTGTTTACTACCCGAGTCTCTTACGTATAAGACTAAACTTGTTCATTGAATGTCGATTTTG